CTAGTAGGCTTCTAAAAAGATAATGAGAGAAGCCAGATTTGGTTAACGACCATGTTATTTGTTTAACAACAGTGGTGAATTGTTTAATGACTGAGGTAAAAAGGGTCATAAAATTGGGCGAGAGCCACTTTACAATTGCATTGCTTGGTGATGGAAGTTCAAGTGCAATTGTGGTCATAAGTCAAGGATTACCTGTAAAAGGTAAAATCTGAAAATTGTTGAAGGGTGAATAAAAGGAAATATTTATCTTACATATACTGTTCTGGAAGGGACCCATTTCCCTTATGAAAAAGTAATAAAATCAAGAAAAGATTTTTTTCCCTCCAATGTGCAACAACAGGGCAGCAACAATCAGTGGGATACATGTTGACAAATGTTAACCCTGGTCATCTTAATTCACTTTAACAAAAATGGTAACCTACTCAGATAAAGCTAACACTTCCAAAAAGAAGTATAGAAAGTATACTTGTTATCATCCATTGGATAAAAGAAAATAAATGGGGGAAAAGTTTTGACTTAATTAAAAGCAAAAATTAGTATGTTATATCATGTGCTGGGGCAGAGTGTAAAGTAAATAATTTGTAAGCTCATCAAGCTGAAGTGAAAGCTATTAAAAAGATCATGTACTGAAAAATATAGAGTTTAATAAACCACAATTTCAAACAATTCATTAGAAAATAAGGCGTGAGACATCTTTATATGTCATTGAGAGTCACTGGGAGTGGGGCAGCCTATAAATGGTTTAATCCAACCAACCAACTAATCAACCAACCAACCAACCTACCTCTTAAAACAAATTTCACCAACAGATGTGAATGCCAAAAATTTCTTGGTGGGAGGGTGGAAGGCAGAAATTAAGGATGTGCAAAATAAATTTGAAATGTTACTTGAGCCTGAAATATACACATTTCAATTTTGAAATAGTACTGTCGGTTTCCAAATGGGTCATTCCAACCATTAGGAACCAATTCAAGCTCAGAATTGCACCTGAAATAGAGTTGCTTTGGGCACTTCTATAATGGTTGGGATAACTCATTTGAAGCCAGCTGTTTTGAGCAGAAAATGTTTTTTGCATTTGAAGCATTTTGCCTACTGCTAGCAGTGATAAATTTAGTTGGTAAAAGGAACTGAAAATAAATCAGAGAATAGGAATCTTTTGCTAGATAATTCAAGTAACAAAATATAGCTCGCCTGTGAAGAAGAACTCCTCAGAATAACTTCCCAACACTGTTCCTGTGGTGACAAAAATGGGCCTTTGATATCTTGCCACCTTGAGGCAAATGTATGTAGATTTTCTCAACATAGAGGAAAATTTATAAACACCAGCTTGTAGACTCCAAAACAGAGCTCTTTTTTCAGAATTTTACTAATGTTTTAGTTTTGTTTATAAGTAGTGAACTCCAGAAACTTTAATAAGAGAGATTTCTAGACCGCTATTTATCAAACATGTTCTATATAGCATTAAATAGTTTTGCCTGCAATTATATCATTAAACACAAAAGTAAGAAAAATATAGAGATGTTGGAAGACCTGGATCTGATGAAAGTAAGATAAAATGGAATTGTGAACTGGAAGTGGCTAAGAAATGTAAATTTTCTCCCAAATCCATGGTTGCTATGCTAAAAGAAGGATAACGAGTTTTTGTGGCAAGCCTGAAACATATGATAAAATATTTCAGGAATGCTCTAGGTTTCCTTGAGATTTCTATGGCCTGATGGGGAAATTTGGTAGCCTAAAATCAGATCTGAAATTTGAAAGGTAAAATTGACTCAGCTTTTTATTTGACTAGGACAACATTTTCCCAGCTCTGAAATGTAGTGAAAAATGAAGAAAACTGAAGTTCCTTGCAAAGCGTATTAGCCATTTGATATAAACACTCATCCAATGCATATAAAGAAACATTTTAATGGCACCCAAATGGAGAATGCAATTGATATAAGAATCTTTAATAAATATTTGTAAGGATTTTTAATGAGTCCTAGAGGACTTCTGTGTATCATTTCATTGTATCAATGTGGAAGAATTGCCAGAAGGGCCAGCAGATCTTGGTCCTAGCATGCTTCTCTTTATTAGAATAAGTTTGGGACTTGAAGTAATACTGACAAAATAGATCCTCATATGGCCATACTGCTGACATTGATACAGTAAATCCATTGTCACGTGGCCTTAGATACCTCATGAAATGAGAAATATAGTTAACAGGTAAATAGTCTTGCAAAGGACTAGAATTTCAAGTCTAAGTCTCGGGGCATGCTGAATCTTCCTCAGAAGATGTTCTTCTAACATTTTACATATTCTGGGCTCCCTGGAGGAAGTATGATGAAGAATATGGCAACATATGCAACATTATTCAATACTAAAGAAAGATGAGCAAGATAAAGGGATTGATAGTGTCTGCACCAGAAGGCATGCCAGAGTCGGCAAAAAATATGGTTTAGCATATATGAAGAAACCTGACACTGATCTAGATAATAAGCTAAAGAAATTATAGTAAACATGTATTTATTAAAAAAATAAGAAACATATTTAAAAAATTCTGAGTTGTCTTTTGCCCAAGAATAAACATTGTAGAATAGTTTTGAACTCTAAAATTAGAGTACAATTCCAGAAAACTGAACAAAAAAATTGAGAGCCAGTTTGGTGTAGTGGTTAAGGCACCAAGTTAGAAATCAGGAGACCTTGAGTTCTAGTCCTTCCTTAGCCAGGAAAGCCATCTGGGTGACTTTGGGCCAATCACTCTCTCTCACCTCAAGAGTTGTGGAGAAAACAGGAGGAAGGAATGTTACGTATGTTCATTGCCTTGAGTTACTTATGAAATAATAAAGGTGGGATAAAAATCTAATAAATACATAAATACATACATATTACTTAATGACAATGGGTAGAACTAAGATATTAAAAATCTCTCAGAAGCCACCAGAAACTTTAAATTAAAATTAAACAAAAAATACAATGGCCTCTTCTATGAGAGTTTTACAATTGGCATATTATGACAAAGAAGACTTTACCCCGGATTCCTATTTTTTTCTTATCATAAATGGAAGAAGTTGATATTACAAACACATTCCAAAATACAGATAATTATAAGAAAATATTGTTACTTGGATATCCAAAATACTAAACTCACCATCTGCATTAATTTCATGAAAGGACATTCCCTTTTTTGCCATGCAATGCTTAACATATGTTAACTGTAGATAAATTTTAAACACAAACCTTCAGTGTTAACACATTATTTCTTATTACAGGGCTTCCCCAGTAGATTATGAATTCCATTACTCTATGCATCTGTTCAACTATTACATGTGTTAAGTATCTCATTTGGTCCACACAGCCGCTAAAATGTTAATTACAGCACTCAAATGCGCGCATATGCATTAGTAAATAACTGTGCTTGGAAGATGGTTTTTATTTGTTATAATTGAATACTATGGTTGCTGTCAGGAAGGGCAGGGAAGTTGGAGTATCACACTCTAGATGTCAAAAACATTAAATAAATATTGCCAAGTATCTTTGTTTTTTCTTTGTTGTAGGAACTTTCATGCCCTAGAGAGACTGAAATGTCATGCTCAGCTGCCCTTGGAAAACACTGGAAACAGCATTCCCCCCAATAATGGATGACGCCTTTCTGTCAAACTTATATGTGATTCAAGTCCAAACAACCTGGCACTTTGGGTAATGGATGCTATAATTAAAATGTGAGTCCTAAAGAACCTGTTGTTTTAGTGGGTGTTTTTAGTAATGGCTTTGTTCTACATGAAGATAAAAACTCTCTAACAAAGGAATTAATGTATTGCTTTAATAGGCTGCACCCTGAGTTAAGTTTTAAAATTTATGAGTTCTCTGCAGCATTGTTCTTTAAACAATGGTATTGTCAAATGCAGCCAGTGAGAAGATTAAAGTTCTCCCAGCAGATTAAGTACAAATTATCTGTCCTCCTGTTTAAGCATCATTTGTTCATTTATCACATAACGTCTAGTATTTCTGGTCAGTGTCAATATGCTCTGCATCCTTGCGGTTAACAGATGTCTTCTCTTGTCGAATGAATTACTTTATGTTTCACGCACTGGTGGCCGCAGATGTGTCACTATAGCAACATCATTAATTTCAGATCTTACCGGAAACATGCACTCCAATCAAACCTAATTATACCACATTGCTTTCTTGTCCCACAATAAGGAAACTATAATGCAATCATTGGGATACTTCATTTTCTATTCTGCTGTGGCAAATGAGAGAGCCACAGTGATGGACGCTTCTTGTCAAAAAGCTTATTGATGAAACACAAACCCAATTTACAATCATACAAAGGACTACCTTGCAATTATGTTAGTAATGTAATGCACTTTAGACTTTACAAATAATTCTTAATCATTTCAAGAGAAACTAGAGCCACGCTAAGATACTTGTAAACTTTTACTTTATTCTTTTACATTTTTCAATATAGGCAAGCCCCCACATGGTATGTTGTAAAAAGGTATAAACCTATCAAGAGACCATTCATAGAAATGCTTGAAAGAATCATAGCTTTTGAAATTAAGCAACCAGGTTTTAATGGGGAAATTAGATATGCTATGGCATACTTCAAGAATCTTTGAAACTATGATTAAATACTAATGGATCCAATACTTAACAATATCCATTACAACTTTTCTCATCTCTCCTACTTTATTTCTACCAGTTTAGATACAGAATAGTGATAACTAACAGCCTTAGAAATTTTGGCTTAAAATCCTACACATTATTTTCATTTTGAGCACAGTGTTGTAATTTGCACACATAGTGCAGTTTTTCATCCTCAGAGACATTCTGGTTGGTTAAATTCCATATTGTGCTTTTTACATAATTAATCACCTAAATGTACCAAAAACAGTAGTATTAAGAGGAACTAAATTGACAATTAGAATGAAGCACCTAATCACGATATACTGGTTAATATACACTGATACTAGTAATTTTCTGAATAAAACTCATCCATAAAATACAGTTCCAAGATGTACCTGTTTTATCTGTCAGTAGATACACTAGGCGTCCCAATTCTTCAGGTATGGTACTTGTCCTGACAACTGTTCCAGGTATATTATCATCCTTCATAATCATCCAACCATATGCTGCTTTGCCCATGTCTAGATTTACACGTAAACTGGAAAAAAAACAGACTTTCCTGAATTTAATAACTTTAATTGGAATATAGAAAACAAACAAAAAGGACATAGTGCAATGAAATCTGCAATTTAATTTATATAAATAAAGAATACACAGATGCTCTTAGACACTGGAACTTCATCACTAAGAATGACTATAAACCATAAACCGTGCTTTAATTTTTTTCTTTGAAATCAGCAATATTATGTTCACCTATTCCATCCTTTATTATTAAGTATCCCCTCTCATAATTAATTAAATTTAGTATTTATACTTGACACCTTAATTATAGACTTCTGTAATGACATATTATTCTCTTATGATAAAGTCATAATCTGTCACAGGAAAAATGCTCACTGTAAGCACTTTATCTTTTAAATTCAAAAGTGAGTTCTTTTTTTAATATGGTTGCAAAATAGTACTTTCCAACTCCCAAACCTGAAGCAGGTCTAAAAAAATACCATGGTTGATTACACAGATTGTCGCTGAGGGCTCTAGGAGGACTAGGATAAATGCATCACCCTCATCTTGAGCCATCCACAAAATCATCCAATGCTTTGTCAGTCCTGTAATCTGGCCTGAACCTTGAATGAAAAGGATCCATATAATCCACTTCATCCAGGGACTGGAACTACCAGGGACTGGACTACCACCTTCTCAGCAATCATCTCTAAGGGAGAAAGGTTGGAGACTGAGCAAAGGTTGTCCAACATGGTCAAGTCCAAGAATAGCCTCACAAGGAGAGGGCATATCACTGCTTTCTTCAAGGCAAGTGACACCACTTACTCTCACAATGAGGCATTAATTATTGTTCCAACCCAACTGCATGCCACTTCCCAGGAAGTCTGATCAACCAGAAGGGTTATGGGTCCAAAACATAGCCAAACCTCTATAAAGGTTACCCAGTTAATATTCAACTTGAACAACTTTATTTGACAGACACAAGAATATTCTTTAAAGCAGCCTTGCAAGGTTACCTTGGCCCCTCCTTACCCAGAAGGGGCCTGGACATTAAATAGGGATGCCAGTTGGCTATCTGCAGACAGAATATGAGTGGAAAAAGTGAACTTGCTTCTATGTTTGCACTTGTCACGTGCTCATTCTAAGTTGCAACCAAAGTCTCAACCAAACTGTGCCCTAGAGCTTCTAGAAAAACTTCAAATTCCTTCTGATATTCAATTGGGTCCATCAGTTGTCCAGGCTGGCTAATTGAAGAAGCCTACTTTTCCTGCAGTGGGGTGTGTGTGTGGACATGGAAAACTTCAGAGCCAAGAAGCTATCAGCTGTCCATGGCAAGGGACTGAAGTTAATACATCCTGATCCTTGATCCCAATGCTACAAGACTAGATTTAATGTGTGGTCTCCACTGTGGGCTGAATACTCAAGAAGTTGGATTATGTCCATGGTTGTATGTTGGCCATAAACCTCTAAGCCATCTCTAACCATGGGCCCAAACAAGACAAGCTGAAGTCTTCCAGGATTATTAGCCTGGGGAACTCCACTGCCAACTTAGCCACATAGTTGAGGAGCTTGGGCAGGATGCCACTACACTGCAAAGAGAAAGATAAACAAACAGCAGTCCCAACTGATTTATATGGCTCAATCTCACAGAGGGCCTCACACCTTTCAATGTCTGGGACAGCACTTTTAAAGGCTATCTAAGACTCCAGATTAGAAGAGCCACTCTGGTATCCCTGCTGGGGATTTGTGGTTACACAAATTTGTAGATGTGTGCTACACCTGTAACTTGGAGGGCCCATTTCTGAGAGGGGACCCTCCCACAGGCCCAACCAGGTTTTGGTAATGCAAATAAGATCATCCCTCTTCTCCGCAATCAAGTAATAGATGAGAGAAGTTTATTGCAGGGCAACCTGGCATTAGGTAGGAATAGCTGGAGTTTGGAGCTGCCAAAGCTATGAGAACAGGTCTTGGAGCTGAACACAGTGATCCAGAATATGGTACTTGTCTCAAATACCAAACCTTTCTAGAGTAGCCTATCCAGTTGAAATTTAATCCAGACATTTCTGATAGTATGGTGGTTTGGTGTGCTCAAGTTAGTGCATATCTTCAGCATCAATCAGCAGGTTGTAAGTAATCTTTGATTTCGCTCTGTCCTTGAGAGCTCATGTTGACACAGTGGGAAAGAGCAGTTATTACTTGAAACTGAGTTACCAACTATGTCCTTTATTGCTATCCACATATTGGTTACTTATTGATTTATATGAGATTGTACTCAATCATAGCAGAGAGAGAGATACGTATTAATACGTTTGGGCAAAAGTCTATCTTTATGTCTTTTAGTTCACAACTTCCCTTCCAAATAATTTTTTATGAAGCTTTCATTATATAATACCAGAATCCCTATAATTTACTACACTGAAGCTGAAATATACATAACTGGAAACCAATCTCTTTCTACCTACACTCTTCTTAGTTTTCAAAACTTCTTCTGTGCTTTGGATAGGAACTGATTGGAGAAAACAATCCAGACATCTCCAAATACAGACTGATTGAAATTTCAGACTAGCAAAAGCAATCATTAAGAATTTCAGGCATTATCGTTATGTCTCAAAGTTAAATAGTGTATATATTTTGTACACTGTGGGTAATCAACTGAAAGGAGAATATATGTAATGTAAACCACTGTTTCTTAAGATTCATTCTGCAAAACAACAATGTTGCTCATACAACTTGGACATCTTATGTGAACTGTTCCCAAGATCTAAAAGAGAAGTTTGGAGTGGTAGAGGGTTTGGTAAATTTAATTTCTTTAATCAAATAAGTAACCTATCCATGAATGATGTGGGAGGTATTTTTATACAGTAATAAAGGCAGGACAAAAATCTGATAAATAAACAAATAATCAATCTCCCGCAGGTACAATACTGAAAATATTGAAAAAAACCCTCATCACTAAAAATTTGTGACTAATGTTGACATAGAATATAAACTTTTAAGTAAAGAGAATTAGGGCTACTACAGTACATACCTTCCTTCTATATGGAATAAAAAAACTGTGTTCAAAAGTTTGAAAAAGTTATACAAAGTATTTTGAACTATTCTCAAGTGTTTTAAATATTTTTTTCAAGATTATTCAATATTTACTCTTTAGTGTACAAAAATAGAGTGTTTTTAATCTCAGAATGGAAACCTAAAACCTTTCCAATAGCAAAGCAATAAAGAGTTTTACTATTTTTTGGCAATAAAAACAAAACATTTATTGTAATTTTTACTGGTTTATCTTGATTTTCTACCACTGTCTTTTTACAATTCATACTCCAACTGAAGGTAATCTGTAGTCCAAATCATCCAAATATTCTCTCTCTCTCATATTTCCTTCCCGGGTCCAATAAATCAGAAATCAACAATTTGCAACTTGTTCATAAAATTCTAAATCTGTTGTCTTCAAGAAGGTATTTCACTGTTTTCAGTGAGAATAGTAATCTTGAAATTCTTTAAATAACGACTCTTGAATGTAAACCTTGATCAAATTTTCTTTTTAAGTTATAGAAATTGTCACCAATGATAATTTGGAATGCTAATTACTAAATGACCCTATGCTAATCATTTCCCAATGAACAGAACTTGGAGTTCTTAGTACAGAAAGGCTCCACATCATGTATATCAGGAACAGGCTATGAGAATGTAAACTATCATGCTTGTTATAAATTTCTCACAATTGTCTGACTATAATGTCACTCTTCAGAGTTGTTACAACTAAACTAGATGAGGAAAAATATTGTTTTCTCAGCATGAAGTACTGTAACTTGCAAACTGAGAAAATGAGAGATCACTGAAAAAGCGCAACCTTGAGAAACATGTCAGGATCATGCGCAACAACTGTGCAATTAGCTGTGCTAAAAAAGTCATTTGGAAAGACCCTACAATAATGTTATGTTATCCTGTTAGTCACTACCTTGCCAGCTTTGTAGAATGCTGATCTCCTGATGGGTTAATAGTATCCTTTCACCCAATGATTTACTTAGAATAGTTTTGTAGTGTCATGCACAATAATTTCCAGCTGCCTTTAGCCCAAATAAAATTCCTTGGGAGAATTTTTGACCTGTAGTAGCAAAAGAATTACAGGGGAAGTATAAAAAACCATTTATCTCTAACTAAGCTTGCCTTATTGCTCACATTTTACTTGCTGCTGCCCAATATTTGATGGATTGTAGATGTTTGATTACATATAAACAACTGCCAACTTCATATGATCATGTGGTTTAGCTTTACATTAGTGTAGCAATAACTGATAATCACTCAAAAATCTTAAAATATTCTCCAACAGCAGCAATTTTTCAGATTCTAATGTAGACAAAACTTGATTTTGATAAATATTCATGAAGCTGAAATAGGCATCTATGAAATAATGCCAACTATAGGTTACCTAGTAAGATACAATCTCAAAAAAGCCATGCACCATAAATATATCTTGAAAAATATAATCAGAACATTGCCATCCTGGGTTAAAGGGAAATCAAGCAGATTCTAAACTCACTGAGGACCTAGGTCCTTAAAAGTTAAAATATCAAGTTCCTTTTTAAATTTATTAATATAAACCCCCAAACAGCACTCTATTCACTTGCTTTGTTAACAATATTTAATAAATATGCATTAAAACAAATAGTTACTGAACATTTTAGAATACTCTAAATAAATAATTATTTATTTATTTATTTTACAAAATTTATATGCCGCCCTTCTCCCCATGGGACTCAGGGCGGCTCACAGCATGTTAAAACAATATACAAAATTACCCCTTCTAAAAACCAATTAAAATCCAAATATTAGTGGCTGTGACTATTTAAAATCATTAAAAATTTTCCCTATTTAAAATTCACCCTAGGTCAGGCCCGCTT